AAGCCTAAATAATTTGAAAAAGGGTAATATAAAAGCTTACCTATATATGAATAACATAAATTTCTTATACTGATATGCAAGCTATAATTCTAGAACCATTGTCTAACCTTGCTGCTGCTGCTGCTAGATAATTCAGTTCTAGAATTTCCATTGGTACCAGCCCAAAGAGGGTCCGAAGAGTCCAAAGTAAAATAATAATACGCATAGGAGACAACATAGGGTTCACAAATATCAGTAAACTGCGTATACGTTGTAAAGCATTTTTTAATAGCCATCTAACTTGCTATCTTGAACTGTTGAACAGTAGAACTCAATGTCTTGATATGTCATTTGCTCAAAGTTAACTTTGAGAGATTGTTTTGCCATCTAGAAAAAAATATGACTGTATGTTGGCGAAATATAGTCATATAGACCTACATTTATTACATGAAATACCAAACCTTCAATTTTTACCTGGCAGTTTTTCTGGCAAGCTTCGTGTGAAAATCGCACTCCTCGTAGTTGTATTTCCCGTTTTTTTTCGTTTTAATTCGTATTATCGCAGTCATTTTTATTCCAAAAGGAGCAATGTCGGATGGATAAATAAAATTTGTCAAAAAAACGAAGAGCAAAAGACCCATGGCTTTAAAATTGCATTTTTTCTGCTAAAAAATCGAATTTTCCTTATTAAAAAGTGTAAAAACACTTGCCAGAGCTTAGCGCATGCGCATTAAAAACAGGGGGACAAGATTTGCCGCGAGTTCCACCTCTGTGTAGTACTCTGTGACTAGAATCCAGTAAATCAACGATAGATCTTATTTTCGCGAACAATGTTCATCGCGTGGTAGCAAGCGGAGTATATTCTGTAGATCTCAGTGATCATTCCTTGATTTTTTGCGTAATTAAAGCTGGTATTGCTAAATCGGGTGGAAGTTTCCGCGATGTTAACTACCGTTGCTACAAGAATTATAATTATAATATAACATTTATAGTACGCGCGTGCTGATTGGTCGAGAAGCGTGTTTCTATAACTGTATAGAAACACGGGAATTTTCCCGCCGAACTTGACAAGCGAAGCGATGTAATGAGAATTTGTAATTGAATCGAATTATAATATTTGTACAAAATCTTTTTATCGAGTTATATTATAAAAGAAATAGAAAACGTTTTTCCTGTGTTTCTATACAGTTATAGAAACACTTGTGGGAGTTTGGGAGAACTCGAAATAACGTGGAAAAACTCGCCCTACGGGCTCGTTTTCCCACTGATTATTTCTCGTTCTCCCAAACTCCCACGCGTGTTTCTATAACTGTATAGAAACACGGAAAATGTTTTCTATTTCTTAATCAACACAATTTCAATTACGATCTCAAGAATGTTGACTGGTCCTTCACAGATTCCGTATCTGATATTAATGATACTATTAACACTTGGTGCAATGAATTTTCAAAAATTGCAGACAAGCATGCTCCTATAAAACCAGGCGAGTTAAATGCATGAGTAAATCCCCTTGGATCACACCTGAACTTACTGAGCTAACGCGCGAACGAGACTATCATCAAAAACTAGCACATAAAACTAATTTGGGATATCACTGGCAACATTTCCGTGAACTAAGAATTCATGTTAATAACCAAATCAAGCTCGCTAAATCTAAGTACTTCCAAGATTCCGTGAATGCGAATAAAGATAAGCCCTCCGACCTTTGGAAAACACTAAATGAACTAACATCTCGCAAGAAATCAGGAACAAGCCCGTCGTGATAATCTCTGAAAACAAACCCGTCACTAATCAAAAATCTATAGCAACGATTTTAAACGAGTATTTCACGACCATTGGGACAAAATTAGCAGATAAAATAAAGAGTACATTCCAATCCAAACAGCCTCCACCACCCGCTGATCTGCCCTTCAGTTTTGATTTTCAAGAAGTAGACGAATCATTTGTCTTCCGTGAACTTTCGTCGCTGAGAACCAACAAAGCAACCGGTCTCGATCACATCAGTGCTAAGCTGTTAAAAGATTCAGCTTCCACCATTGCTTCCAGTTTAACGAAGATTTTTAATGCCTCGCTTCTTTCACAAACATTCCCAGATATTTGGAAAAGAGGAAAAATTATTCCTCTCTTCAAATCCAACGACCCAACAGCACCTACCAACTATAGACCTATCACTATTTTACCCATCTTAAGCAAAATTATGCAACGCATTGTTCACAGACAAGTCTACAAGTATTTACGTGAACACAAACTTAATACCTCTGAGCAGTTTGGTTTTCGCCCATATTTGTCTACAAATGTTGCTTTAACGCGGGTCACGGAGGAAATTCTACTCAATATGGACAACAAATTAATTACCGGTGCGGTTTTCATTGATTTACGTAAAGCCTTCGACACAGTGGATCATACCCTTCTAACTGCGAAATTAATGAACATTGGATTTTCCGCACCCGTTACAAAGTGGTTTACATCTTATTTATCATCACGATCAGCCGTTACATCCATCAACAACGTTGCGTCAACTCCTAAACCAGTCACCGTAGGCGTGCCTCAGGGAAGTATCCTAGGACCTCTTCTCTTTCTTATATACATCAATGACTTGCCCCGATGTTTGAAACACTGCAAATCAATTCTGTATGCTGATGATACTTTAATTTACTACACTGCGAGGACAGAAATTGAAATACAAGATAAAATTAACATGGATCTGATTTCACTGTCACAATGGCGTAATAACAACCTTCTAACATTGAACTACGAGAAAACTAAATTTATGATCTTCGCCAACAAAAGACAATCATCCTTGGTTTCCACCGTAGACATCAACATTCAAAATAAGAAAGTATTGCAGACAACATCGTTTAATTATCTTGGTGTTACTCTAAGCAGCGATTTAACTTGGTATGATCATATTGACAATTTGACTACCAAAATTAACCAAAGACTCGGGGTATTGCGAAGGATAAAGGAATATTTAGATTTGAACACACGTTGTGTACTATACACATCGCTAGTGTTTCCATTATTCGACTACGGTGACGTGATCTGGGGTGACAAGAACAATGCTGTATTGATAAACTCGCTGCAAGTGCTGGAGAACAAGGCTGCCAAGATAATCTTAAACAAACATCCGCGATATTCTTCAACCAACGCGTTACAAGAACTTCAATGGTCAACGCTGGCGACAAGAAGACATAACCACCGATGCACGTTTATCTACAAATGCATGCACGGCTTAATTGACTTTGATTTCGACTTAGCGAAGAAGGAAGATATACATAGTCACTGCACAAGACGACGCAGAGATCTACACATTCCACAAGCAAGGACGAACAAAGGAAAACAACGACCAACTTATCAAGCCTCAATAGATTTTAATAACCTGGAACATGAACTAAAAAACAGTATTTCATTACCTAACTTTAAGAACCTATTGAAAAGACGTTGATCGAATATACCATTTGGCATTTGGCTATAGAATTTCCTTCTTCATTCCTTTCCATTATACCATTTTCTACTCAATACTTTTCTTCCACATCATAATCCAATTCCCTCATTGTATTGCATCATATAGTATTATATTGTATTGCGTTGTTACAGTATTGTATTGTTTGGCATAGTATGGGATGGTATCGTTCAGTATTGTATTGTATTGTGTTGTATATATCACGAAATCATGTAACATATAGATGCAAGACCCCACTGAAAAACACTTCGGTGACGTGAGTATCCTGGTTAAAGATGAAGTTAATAATTAATAATAATAATAACAGTGCGCAGCAGTTTTGGATTTTTAGCGCATGTGCGAGAAAGTAATGGGAGAATTAAAAATTCATTAACATTTGCAGGAAATAGTTGTTTATGATGGCCGCTCGTAGTGTACGAAATCATACGATGGTGTACAGGAAACACAAGGACAAAATCAACAGATCAGGCGCTGGTAATGGCATATATTAGCTAAATTTTGAGAAAGGCGACTTAATTTTGGGTACATAACTGTCCATCTCAATTGATCTCAGGTATCTACGGTGAGCACATAATGTCAGGTCCCAGATAGGTATACCTCTGAGGCACAGCTTACTGTAGTTCCAGGTAAATTTCAGTCTCTAGTGTAAACACGGCTGGTCTAAATATCCCAATGTAACAACAAAACAAACAAGCGATGTGATTTAACATAAAGAAATGCTTTGTTTATGATTTTGAATTAACTGATATATCAGCTGCATATCTGTTCAAATGTCGCTTCATAATGGCGTGTCGAGGAATGTAAGTAATCTTCAAACAATTGGTCACTGAATTGTTATGAGCCAAAAATTCTGATACCCGACTTGAAAAATTAAAAAGAATTCGGCTGTTTCTTCTGTTATTCGTGATTTTTCTTAATTCAACTTAATTTGTAGACACATACCCTATCATACATATACAGTACTATACTATTAATAATGGTAATTGCACTAAGTAGAGTGCAATTTGGTGTGAAATCAAACGCGTGATTACAAAATCGCACAACCGCAAAGCGGGAGTGCGATTTGTAATCACACGTACAAGTTTGATTTCACACCAAAATTGCACGAAACGAAGTACAATTTTCACTTTATTATATGTATTTTGAAATCAAACAAAAAAGTAAACAAATTCAAAATGATTTATTGGCTGAAAGAACCGAAGCCGGTGTAAAATGTGAGTAATTTTCATCTATTTGTGTCATTTTTCCGTGTAATTTGATTGCATAGTTACACTGAAATACTAAATCTGATTGGTTATTGTGGTGCAGAGCTTCAATCTTATTGGCTTATAAAAGATGTGATTAATGCTAAAAAAATAGTGCGATTTGGGAATTAATCACACTATTTTTGACCAATCAGATTGCAAGAAACACCATTGATTTGAAAATGAATATAATAAAGACTCAAATTTGGTCAACTTTTAAATCCAATCGCACACGAAGGGGAACCAAATTCTTTCCTTATTCACCATATAAATGTATGAGAAATCATATTCCAGGGACACAAAAATCTACTTACATGTCATAAATATCCTTGTCGTTCACAAATATGCCTGCTTTTCCGTATACATATGATACCTAAAATATGTAGAATATGTATGAAACCCCTGTTTACTGCAAGATATGAATAAATTAACCTGTATTATATAAAAGACCACATATCAAATCTTTATTAAATATTTTGAACATTTGAGAAAAAGCAAGTCACTGGCGTACGATATACCTATTAAAGGGAGATTTAACGCGAGGACGTGCACGTGGAAGAGGATGGGAAAATGGCGAATGAATGATTGGTGATGCGTCTATATATGGCGAGTTATCCTATTTTTCACGAATTCACAGCCGGGGAAATGATTTGGAACATGCAGCGGTTTTTACAATTTTTTTCAAAAACGTAGGTTATTGGCACTATGTGATACAGAAAAAGGCGCGAAACTGTTCAAATAAAGCTACAGTTATATATATTGTTACGCAACACTTAATTGTGTTATAATTATCACTATAGTAATGATAATAAGTAAAAATAGAAAAGTTAAAATCATAAATAGGATTAGGAATGTAATATCGTTTAGCACAACATGGGGCAAGTGATTAATCCTTGCTGCAACACGCATGAGTAGACATAATTTTTGACCACTCGTAAGCGTTAATTACTTGAGATTTCCTTTCATGCATGACATTCCGTGGTAGGTGATAAAACTTTAAATGTTATTTATCTAGACAAAAACTGTCATTTTTATGGATAACTAATCTCGTGCATTTGGCTTGCAATGTTGAGATAACCAGGATAACCTAATACAATAGGTTGAATCTACTTAAGCTTAAGCTTACCAGTATGATGAATGATCTTGTGTCAATCATTCAAATATATTTCGCGCGGTCGAGCATTCTAAGCATTAATCTGGATTTCGATAAATTTATTAGTGAAGTTAGTTTAGTTTGTAGTTACGATTCACACAGTTACTGTTTGAATATTTTACTATATAAGTATACTATACATTTTGTAGACTTTGTAAGTTGTGAACATTTTTAAATATTGACCGAAAAGCAGAAGACCAACTCGACCAGTCTGATAACGCCTTAAAAACAACAAAATACGAGAGCTGGATCAAGCTTCTAACGCCATTAACCCACACTTGAAACCTACAACGTTGATTGGTTAGTTGTGGATCACCCCACTTTGCAGAGGAAGTGTGCAAGACTCCCTCAACTTCCATTATAAAAGGGCGTGCACAACAAATTGCAGACTTAATTAATTTTTACTTCCAAATGTATGTTCGTATATAGTTTCAGTCAACGTGTTTCTGCCGTTGTGCGTGTTCCTGACTCCTGATTTTTGTTCTCCTGGCGTTTCGTTCCGCCGGTGCGTGTTTCACTGTTCTTCGTTTTATATAAATAGCAACTTACCTCATAAGCATCAATAAAATCATCACCATTTAAATTCCACATCTTAAAAGTCTCGTGCATCTCATCCTTGAACATCTTTTCAATATTTTTAAACGGTAGAATTTTTTTCATTCCTTTTGTCTTTGCCAAATCAATGACAAGTTCACATTCGTCTTTCGTGAAGAAATCTTTAATTTCTAAAAATATAAAAACGTTATCACTAAACAAATTTGACATTTCATGTTGAAAGTGCTACCTACTAATTCCTATTCCACGGACGTTTCCCACCTTTTTCTGTTGACACTTTGAAAATGGAAATGATAAGCCAGTGTTTCAGATAACCTACTCAACGAGTTCGAGTGGGAACGAGCTTGTGGAATTCAGGCGTTATAGTCTATACCTACAGCAAATCATGGAGAGTGAAGACTGTTTTTCTACTACAGAATTGTGTCTCCAGGTGAAACAATATGATAAACATACTGGTTCCCGGATATAATGATAAAAAACTTAAACAAAAGTTTTTTAAAAATATGCATGCTGGGTAGTTTACTCTCAAATCCTGAACCAATCCAAACCTGAAAATGATTAAATCATGTATGCAGATAAGTGAAGTTGCTGGTGATGTTTTGCTTTAAAATAACGTGTCTTGGTGTCATGGGAAAGTGTAAGGATTTGACAGCAACGGAGAAGCAAGACGTTCTAAAAAGTCTTAAAGAATTATGAAGCATGTCTTGACTTAGTATTTGATAAAGCATGTTTTTCGAATATCAAATTTGAGAAAAGATGCAGAATTTTTCGGCACCAAATCCAGAAAGAATGAAATTAATAAAAGGCGCTATAGATAGATGGCGGCTGGAATCATGATTTGGGCCATTTGGGCCATTTAAAGTGGATGATAGGGTGAAGCCGACCCGTGAAACGTATTGCAAGTTCATAACAAGTCGATCGTCTAAGGCTGAATATGTAAATATGAATGACAATGCTCCGTCGCATGCCCCAAATGCCACTACTCAAATTTTGGCCAAGAGAGGAATATCATTCAGCAATGCAGTGGCCTCCAACGAGCCGAACCTTAATCCTTTAGAGAATTCGAACCCCTGGGCGATCATCAAAAAGAAAATGGTAGTAAGTAATTAAATAGTAAGTCATAAGTTTGGGATGCCATCGTTACGCTGGAGGGTGACTCCTTTTTCAGGCATGATATAATCTAGGTCTGTGGATATGATTCCGGTAAACAGGTCTTTTTTTCAGTACAGTTTGATTACTATACTTACGCTTGTAGTCAAAAAGCTCACTCAGGCTCATTGAGTGTCAATCAATGGAAAGATTTAAGATCTAGCTCTTATTTGAGTGGAAATGCCGTCATGGAACTGTTATAAAGAGATTGAGATCCTCCACTCAATGAGTTTGAGTGTGAGTGAGTTTTTAGAATACAGGTGTTATATAATCTTATTGTGTTTTTTGGTAGATTAAAATTCTACAAATTAATTGTTCTATTAATTCTCCTAACACTACACGCATTATCTTGTAAAAGTGCGTTTTCAATAATATTGCTTACCAAAGATTGGAGGATTTTGACTTAACGTTTTAACGATATTTTCTTTTCCTTCGAATAAATGTATTGTTTCTTGCATACCAACCTGGTGATGACGAAAGTTCATTGTTAGATCAGAATTATCTATGCTTTTTTAATTTGAATGGAGATTCAAACTGAATGCAACAAAAATGCTTTACTAAATTGATCGAAATTTGTTCGCTGCATACTTATGAATAGAGGAATTGCTCATCGTTTCCCGTTGCTTTGTGCAAAAATAAACAAAAACTGGCAGAGAAGTCGGAGCCACCCGCATAGCGTCAATTAGCCAAAAATTAATTCTATCGCTTAATTCTATCCCGGGCGACACATACCATAATAAGATCACTTCGTTTTCCGAAGGGTCATGCGACAAAGATGGTATATAAACAGTCTAAATTCCCCGTAACGCTAACAACTAGTAAAAAATTCAAGCATTTTTGGACTAAATTTTTTACGCTTTAATCAGACCGTCCGCGGTATATCTTTGTTTTGTCCCTTCACCGGGTTGGAAGGTAACCCCCGTCGTATCCAATACTGCCAGCTAAACAAAGTTTTTTTTTAATCTCAAAAATCCATAGACATGCAAGCATATCTATATGGAGAAATCATTCGCGGTCATTTGTGTTCACTCGTGTTTACCTTTAGCGAGATAATAAAAGGTTATCGAAATAACTGTTTTAATCAACGCAAGTCTATACTATTCCTTAAAACATCATGTGATAAACATATCGGACGGCTTCAATAGTCTTTTTCCCATCTCTCAATAATATTTGGTTGTATAGCTAGTGATCTGCAAAGTTGTCTGTCCTCGAGAAAGATCATCCAGTTACACGCATGTCTTTGATTCATTGTTAGCATTCAAGCTATGAATTTGTTGCTACGAACGCTTAAAAGATCTCATATACCTAGAAATGTTCTACCACCATACGAAAACGGTTAAAAATATATCAATCGGCTAACCTTTTCTTTTTGCTTTCGGGTCAAGGACATTTGAAAGGTGTTTGTCATAACTTCTCGTAGACATGATAATTCACCAGATGGGCAGACATTCCCGTAGATCTGTTTGTAAAAGTCCTTTGTACTCAACGGCTGGATATGATCCGCACAAGATAACATTGTACTGTGTAGTATGGATACTAAAACCCAAAACCTGATATCGGGAATGTCTAAAAATTGTTTTGACATAGCGGAGGATTTTGAACCACAGGGCTTTATTTGTTATATAGCTATAGGCAAGAAGAGTTGAAGCAAAACAGGTATCTACCAGTGCCACATTGTCATTGTGTGAAGATGCGGCTGGTATTGAACCTCGGATTATAATATTTAGTTCAAATTTTTTAATCTAAATACGTAAAATATGAATGTTCGCGTGGAACTTTCACTTATAGAGTTTAGCTTGGCCTTATTGACAGAGTGCTACATTGCCCCATTGTATAATGCTGCCACTACTAAATAGACATAGCGTACGAACTCAGCCGCGCTTTTCTACCTCGCAGAAATTTCTTGCAACAAAAAACTAAATGCTAAACATGAATCTGGTCGGTTGAATAAAATGGATTGAAACCTTGGGCCAGTAGTACGAAGGTTGGATAGCGCTATCCACCGCGGATAGTGATTTTTTAGCCGTTTTTAACGATTTGATATGGAATCATCTAATTATACTTCGAGATACTCGACTTCAGTTTAACAATGCATTGTAACTATAACATAAAGTTCTGGTACTTGACCATATCACCGCTGGCCTACGTTCCCTCCACGTCTTTCTGCTTCACTCCTACAAGATGGCAGAACAAGAAAATCTCGCAACGATCTCTGATATGAATCCAGATCCATCCAACTGTAAAGAACAAGAAGAAGGTACGCAAATGAGTTCTAAGGATCTCGCTCAGGCTATCGTGGCCGATCGAGCCTTTATTTCGTCCATCACGGCAGCTATTTTGGAATATATGGCGCCGCAAATGAAACACATGAACACAGTAGCTCGCTATAAAACTGTTGGGTTTTCTGCCCAAACAACCATCAAAGAGCCCGGAGTATGTGATGATCAAACGGTTAATGCACAAGAATCCAACCCCGTAGTGTCAATTGATCTAACGGGTGTGCAAATGCAAAATATAGCAAGTCCTGTAGTGTCTGATGACCTGACAGGCCGTACAAACAAGCGAAATTCAGAGACGGTGAATAATGTAGAAGATCCTACGCCCGTATCAAAGCGTGCACGTTTCGACGCTTCAAATGAGAGTAGTTTAATTGATATTGACCTGGAACCAACAGAGGGCGATATTATGTCCCCAAATTCTCGTTGGGAAGCTAGCGAGGAACTTTTCGCATTCCTTGAGACAATTACTTCAAGGCATCAACATTCCAGACTAGCCCATCAAAAAGATGCAGGATCACATTTTGGATGTGTTTGGTCCTTTGTCGACATTATTTGAGAATGTATTGTGAATGCTGGGGTCAACTAGGAATGGCAATACTGTAGCTTTGGACCAAGAAAGTGTCCTAAACTTCCTCACCAGTGTAAAGTATGCAATGCTCCTTACTCGCGATGCTTCTGCTGATCAACCCACTGATGTCATCATTGGCTCATAAGCATTTCACAAACACGGAACGCCAACTCTTTGGTTCCAGTTTTGAGCAACGCCTTAAAACTCGCTCAGAGACGGCGGAGACCATCGGTAAGGCATCAAGAGTCGGGAAACCATTTTTTCGGGGGGGGGAGGCTCCAGAGGGCTTACAAGACCTCGTGGAGGCCGCCAAGGGTTTCAATTTCGTCCCTTCCAATCAAACAAACCTCATTCCTTCTAATCAAGAGGAAGGATGCCGTTCAGGGGCAATGGAATCCGCAGTCGGGGGCAAAGCACAAGATTCCAGAAGTCCCAAAGACAGGACGCTTAAAACATTTTGGGTACTTCAAACTGTCCAGGGCCACCACATAGAACTTATCTCTTTCCCCGTTCAACAAGTTTTTCCAAGAAGGCCACAACTATCCCCCAGACCAAGAGAGAGTGTTAGATCAGGAGATAGGGGACCTGTTAACGAAGGAGGCAATTCACCCAGTTGTAGGCCCATCTCAATTAGACCAGGGCTTTATAAGTTCAATGTTTGTAGTTTCGAAGAAGGACGGGGGAAATCGTCCAATTATAAATTTGAAACCACTAAACCAGTTTCTCGTTTACGAGGATTTCAAGATGGAGGGCATTCACATGCTGAGAGATCTTTTGAAACAGGACGACTGTCTCGTAAAGATCGATCTCAAGGATGCGTACCTCACGGTGTTAATATGGAGGGACCATCAGAAGTATCTGAGGTTTCTCTGGAAAGGGACTCTGCACGAATTCGCTTGCCTTCCATTCGGTTTCACAAAGTTGATGAAACCTGTAATAGCTGTCCTCCGACAGATGGATATAAGATTAGTGATATATTTTGACGACATTCTGATAATGGCGGAATCTCAGTCACTAGCACTACACCACGCAGCATCAGCCTTGAATCTCCTGGAAGGTCTAGGCTTCATAGCCAACTACAAAAAGTCTCTCCTTGTTCCTGGTCAGCAAATAAAGTTTTTAGGTTTCCTGATCGACTCCACAAATTTATCTCTTCAACTAGCAAGGGAGAAACTTCGGAAAAAATGTCAAAGCATACTAGATGCAGTAGACATCTCAGTCCGAGAGTCAAAATTCCTGGGCCTCCTAACCTCCTCTATTCAGGCCGTATTTCCTTCCCCTCTCCACTACAGACACCTTCAAAGGCTGAAGAATGAGCAGAAATCAATCTTACGAGGCTCCAGTGACATTGGATACGGTTGCCAGGGACGAGGTGATGTGGTGGAGAGATCATCTCCAAGCTTGGAATGGCAGAGCGTTGTTCCATCACCCGATAGACTTAATAATCGAAACAGATGCTTCTCGCAAGGATTGGAGGGCACACTGCGAGTCCATGGTGCTCAGAAGAGAAGAGACTACACATAAATTGCCTCGAACTCCTTGCCGGATCGTTTGCACTCAAAACATTCACGAAGACCAAGGCTTGTGTTCATGTAGGACTTCTGATGCACAATGCAACAGCAGTGGCATACATAAACAAGATGGGGGGTACACATTCTCAGGTGTTAGCCAACCTAGCCATTGCCTTTTAGTATAAACTTACTAATAGGCTATCACTTTTCCTGCGTTCTGATTGGCTACGCTACTAGTAGGCTATTAGTGATAGCCTACTAGTAGCAAAATTCAAAACAATGGCGGAAAATTCGCGTTTCGCCGAAGTATCTGAAGATTTTTTGGACGACTTGTTGGACAATTCCGTACCAGAAAAAACAAAAAAAGCAACAAAATACGGAATTGCAATTTTTAAGGGTAAGAAAATACATAAAAATAACGTATACTCAATTGAATTTTTATATTTAAACTGAATTTTAAAACATTTTACGCGAACAACAATTAAAATATTTTCTTCCCTTTAATATACGAAATAAATTTCAGTTTCAATATTTTTGTATTGTGTTTCCTAGTTGTAAATTAATGTTATAGTTTATACTAAAACAATTAGACAACTCGGCCTCGTTGTCTATGAGCAAATAGTCAACTCGGCTTCGCCTCGTTGACTATTCGCTCATAGACAACTCCGCCTCGTTGTCTAATTGTTAAATGGGAGTGGTGTCTAGAGAATCAGATGGTTGTTTCAGCTCAATATCTCCCAGGAAGTTTGAATGTACGAGCAGACAGGAAATCACGAGTTCTGACCGACTCCAGCGATTGGAAACTCAATCCTTCTCTGTTCCAAACAATCTTAGGAATATGGGATCCCTTAGAGATAGACCAATTTGCGTCTCGCCTCACGCACCAACTTCCTAAATTTGTCAGCTGGAAACCAGATCCCCAGGCCATACAAACAGATGCCTTTTCAATGAACTGGAAAACTCTTCTGGGGTATGCTTTTCCGCCATTTGCACTGATTGGTCGATGCCTTCGGCAAGTAGTTGCTCAGAGAGTCGAACAACTAATCCTTGTAGCACCAGTTTGGCCAACTCAAATGTGGTACCCATTACTACTCCAGTTGTGCACGATCAAACACACCCGTTAACCAACCTCCAACTGGCTGGGTGGAAACTGTCAGCAAATGCTTCCAAACAGCAGATATTTCAGAGGAAACTAGAAACATTTTGCTGGCAGCATGGAGACAAAACACTACCAGTTCTTATGCCTCCGCCTGGAACAAATGGGTTTGCTGGTGTGACCAACGGAAAGTCAATCCCGTTTCAGTTTCTCTGAGTATGATCTTGGAGTTTTTAAAGATCAGTTTAAGGAAGGGAGAGCATATAGGACTATTAATGTTTACCGCTCTGCTTTATCAGCAGTTTTACCTAACATTGACTCTAATAAGGTTGGCTCTTATCAGCTCGTATATCTCAAGTATTGAAGGGTATGCTTCATTTAAGACCACCTCAACCTAGGTATACACATACATGGAAAGTTTCTCAGGTTTTGGACGATTTTAAATCCTTGGGGCCTAATGAAAAATTAAATCATTAAATCGTTATCATTCAAGTTAGTAACTTTGCTTGCTCTCACGGCTCCGGATAGATCTTCGGATCTTGCTAAGAAAGACTTGCGGTTTCGATCTTATCATCCCGAAGGAGTATCTTTTCAGCTACCTGGTCTATCAAAAACGTCTAGGCCTAGTGACTCCCCTAAGTGTAGCTTCCATGCTACGTTTAAGGATGATAAGGACTTATGTCCAATTGAATGTTTAAAGTGTTACGAAGATCGCACTAGGAATTTCAGATCCAATGAGATTAAACAGTCAAACAGGTTGTTTTTGTCATATATTCGCCCACATAATCCCGTCTCATCTTCCACTCTGGCGAGATGGATTAAATATCTGTTGCACTTGTCGGGCGTAGATACAGATATTTTTCTGCTCATTCTATTAGAGGTGCTTCTACTTCTGAGGCTTTTAACAGGGAGTTTCTCTTCCTGAGATTTTAGGTATGGCAGATTGGTCTCGAGAGAGTACGTTCTCAAAGTTTTATTACAGGGCATCTTTCAATGTTTCACCTGGTAATGCAGTTTTATCAGCATCTAATCTTTGACACGTTTATTTATTTTAGCTTTGAATATGCATTGTTAAATTGAAGTCGAGTATCTCGAAGTATAATTTTAGATTATGCAAGTCTGCGAAGCAGATGCAGTATAATATTAATTATATGAGAGATATAAGACGAGATTTAACAATGCATTCCCGGCCAGGGGTTCCCCCTCCCCATGCATTATTACTAGTTTTGTTTTTTTCTTTATCTCTATAGGTCGTTTCACAAAAAGACGTGGAGGGAACGTAGGCCAGCGGTGATATGGTCATAAGTACCAGAACTTTATGTTATAGTGATTTGCTTCACTGAATTTAATTTAAAAGGAAGGAAAATAAAGACAATTAATATTATGCTGCATCTGCTTCGCAGACTTGCATAATCTAAAATTAACCTTCAATAATCTTTTAGCCACTGTTGAAATCTAACAGTGAAATATTTTGTATCAGCACTCAGTGATCATGTTTTAAATTCATCAAAAATAGACTAAAAAGGATCAATAGAGAGACGAGTAGATCAACTAAGAGAATTGAGTATTGATTCATCTTAATAGTTTGACTGAAAATACTCATGAATTGGCATTATATATGAGTGAAAGCTTCAGTGCATGACATTTTCAAATCCCATATGAGTTCTATTCATTAGACGTTTAATTCTAATAAAAAACAACATAGCCAAAACTCAAAAGATCAGTTATTGATCCTTTTTCATAAAATAGAGTCTTTCATAGCGTAACTAACATGTACCATTAATCGGGGAGAAATTGGGGGGCAAATTCAAGTCCCGGATGTTCACTCATTTACGATGTCCGTGTAATTTCCCTAAAATATCATTTCAGGATGTCTAAGGTAGTAAAATCAATTCAAAATAGTTACGCTATACGTACATGTGGGTAGCCTGTAAAACATTAACTGCGATGAAGTTATCATGATTTTTGGCACTTCACACGTTCTAAAGGTTTAAAGGGTCTTAATTTCGAGTGGTATTATACACCCATCAAATTCCAGCCAGGAACAGTTGATGGAAAAATGAGTCAACTATAGGTCGCCCGGGCAGGAATCGAACCTACGCTTTTGCGATGCCGTTGCAATGCTCTTGCCACTGAGCTACAGAGTTAGCTGACAAGAGCAAGCGTGGTTAATGTATATATGATGCTAATGCTGGGAATAGGTGAGGGTAAACCAATTAGGATTTTTGGCACTTCACTCGATGCAGGAATATTCTAGAGGTTTAAAAGGGTCTTAAGCCCCGTTTACACTAAATTCGATTTATTGGCACGGCACGGCTAAAATGGGTACCCGTGCCCATTTCATCTGTTCTCGGTCTTTGTTTTGGTAGCCTGAACACTTATAAAATTGGGTACGGGTACCAATTTTAGCCGTGCCGTGCCGTGCCGATAAATTCAGTGTAGTGTAAACGGGGCTTTAATATCGAGTGGTATTATACACACTTCAAATTCAAGCCAGGAACAGTTGATGCAAAATGAGTCAACCATAGGTCCTCCGGCAGGAATCGAACCTACGCTTTTGCGATGCCGGTGCAACGCCGGTGCAATGCTCTTACCACTGAGTTACAGAGAGCTGACAAGACCAAGCGTGGTTAATGTGTGCCGGAGGCCTATAGTTGACTCATTTTTATATCAACTGTTCCTGGCTTGAATTTGAAGTGTGCATAATACCACTCCAAATTAAGACTTTTTAAACCACTAGAATATTCCTGCATCGAGTGAAGTGCCAAAAATCATAATTGATTTACCCTCACCTATTTCCGGCATTATCATCTATCTATACACATTAACCACGCTGGCTCTTGTCATCTACCTCTGTAGCTCAGTGGCAAAAGCATTGTATCGGCATCGCAAAAGCGTAGGCTCCATTCCTGCCGGAGGACCTATACACGGTGTATCAAAAATATTCGAATCGAAATTTTGCGTGTAATAATGCTATACTTGTCAAATTTGGTTGATTTTTACACCATTGTTAAGTTCATTTATTTCTCTTTCAAATGAAACGTTTTACGTGTAATTTAGTTGAAAAATGAAGAAGTATTGGTTCGACAAAAAAATTTCATAAAAATCACCATTTTCCGCCGATGGGAACTGGACGTTTGTTTTATTGAAAATTAGTCCCAAAGGGCTTTAAAATCTAATCATTACTGAAAACTAAAATGCAAATTTATCGCAAAAATTCTCCTTATTCAATGCTCAACGATAGAAGTTTGAAGAACACAATGAATTAACACAATTAAATTTGCATTTTCTTTTGTCTGGAGGTCTCATTTCGAATCCCCATCGGCGGAAAAATTTGACCTGTGTAGAATATTCCTGCATCGAGTGAAGTGCCAAAAATCGTAATTGATTTACCCTATTCCCGACATTACCATCATATACACATTAACCACGCTTCCTTATGTCAGCTAGATCTAGCTGAAGCTTAGTGGCAAAAGCATCGCACCGACATCGCAAAAGCATCGCACCGACATCGCAAAAGCGTAGGTTCGATTCCTGCCGGAGAACCTATAGTTGCCTCATTCTTCCATCAACTGTCCCTGGCTTGAATTTGAAATGTGTATAATACCACTCGAAATTAAGACCCTTTAAACCTCTAGAATATGCGATGAAGCTATGTTGTATTCAATGTCAAACGACAGGCTGCTATAGTGGCGGGTAAATATCAACTAATGCTTAAGGCCATGTTACACGGTCCCATTTTTCTCGCAATGCAATTCTTCTTTTGAGAGATGTAAATTTGGAAACTACCGAACTTTTGTTTTTATTACACACCATGGCGTTTCTGACACTTACATTTTGAAGCCTCTTCACTAACTTACATCTCTTGAAAGTAGAATTGCATTGCATGTTGTAAGAAAAATGGCACCGTGTAACATAGTCTTTAGCCTAACATTCTAATGTCAAACAAAACGGCAAAATGCCCTATAGTTGGCTAGTTGAAGACATGTATAACGAAGTCAATTTTATTACACAATCTATATATTATAATATTTTATCATATTAAATATATTTTACGACAGATCAAAACATATATAAAACCATATTACAAGAGATAGGAAATGCATATTTTTTAAGCAGAATATTTGTAGAAAACAAAAAAGAGACTTAAGAGAGTAAGGTTCCAGGATGGTGGCACACATCCTCTGATAACATATTGCCGCAGGGTCACCATATATGCACAATGGTTGGTTGGTTGTTGAAAAAGCATGTTGTTGCAGACTATCCAACAAACCAGAGTCAACCAGCATCGCGGAAATCATGTCGCTTACCTTCTACAAATATTGCAAAAAGACACGAGTACTTGTCAATTAGTGTAATAATGGAGAAGAAAAATTGAGCTGCTAAAAGCATGCAACCAAATGTCTATACCATTTGTAAACGAGTGAAATTAAAGCACAAATATCTTGCTGTATATTGGTGAGTGGAGACAGATAAGATAAAAGTATATTTACTTACCAACAGGACCAAACAAATTAGCAATTATCCCACTTGGTATTGCCAACAGATTGAAATTTTAGCGCATGAACCCTGTTATGACCATTGAATACGTCTCTTTGATTGACATTGGGACGACATATAGGGCGTACAGTGCCATCGACAAATCCAAAACAATTATTTAATACAGCACCTTTTGAGAGAATTGCTTCAGCATAGAGTTCTAAGTTATCTTGGCCTAATATCTTATTATACCATCTCATAATTCTGTAACCGTGATTGACATAAATAAAATCGGCGACTTTGGAAGTTATCATAGAAATCTCTGGTACAGGCCTGCCAAATCGTGGAATAAGGTCGTTGTATCGACAAGGATATGCAAATCTTCGTAGAAGCATGCATAAACCCTCCATTCCGTCACAAACGGTTCGTTGGTCGCACCGAAACTCTCGAGGAATCCCCAAGACTTCTGCCAGTAAAGGCAAGTCGACTTTTTCAAAACGGAGTTCAGCCTTACACTCGGCTTCATCAATATTTTGTAGCTGAAATACACCGTAGTTTTCGTAAGAAAATAAAATTTTTTGATGTATTTATCTCATATAACAATGCAAACTCGTCTTCATCTATTAGCCCGTCATCGTAGCTGTCTAGTAACATCATTCTTGCATCTCTGAACGAACACATTTTTACTCAAATTGTGATTAAATCAGCTCTTGAACAGAAACGAAAGTTGTCTGAATTTCATCTGCTTCTTCGTCATCGAAGAAGCAGATGAAATTCACCCAACTTTCGCGTTCCCCTTGTAAAAACAAACCTTGCTTAAGGTTTGTTTACAAATTTCTACGACGGGGAAAACCCTTCCTCGCCTCAGTCTTTTAACGCTAACATCTTATCACTGTGGTAATAAGTCCGACTTTGAATGCCATCATTCATGCCATTCATCATTGATATATAAACGTGAATTGCTGAGTAGTACTTATCACGAAGGTATGTCCTATGACCTTGATTTTCCTCCACATCCTTTGAAAGTATCAGTAATAATGGCACACAATCATTGTGACAGTATTAATATAATTTGAATATATCACGGTCCACGAGCACAATTAATTCAGTGTTCTTTTGACCCTTAATCAATTAGTTCTTGAGATAAGGCAAGCAATACCTTTCCATTAGGCAGGTATTGAAATTAGACCTTGCCATTGTGTGGGTAATAAAATGAGACCTTGCCATTGTCTAGGTATTGAAATTGAAACCAGTCATTGTGCAGGTATAAATAAAACAACAGCCATTCTGCTGATATGTTAAAAAAATATATAAATTTAAGGCTACAAATATGGGCATCATTATTGAATTAAATACTGTTAATGTTTTATATTAATGTATTTTGTCATCTCTCAAGAAACAATTGATTAAGAGTCAAAAGACGGCTTGTTCCCTTTCATATTAGACCCTTTTTCCTTACAAAAGCGTCGTTTTCTCTTCCTAGTCAAGTTAAATCGGTCAAAAAAGTACGGACTGCTTGACCTTTGAATAGTTCCACTTTGGTGAATTATTTGGTTGCCCATTGTTGATTGTGGGTTAAGCGAAAAAAGAACGAGACCAGTATCCTCCTGTACGGACTGTATTTATTATATGACTAACCAGAGAGGTGCTGAAATCACCTTACGCTCGCCTGCACTGTTTGTCTAGAATAAGGCTAAACTCTGTATGAAAGGTATCTGTATGAAGCACAAATTACCGATCTTTTTATTACAAATTACAAGGCTAAAATCCGCGTTGGAAGGTAATATTAAGCACAAACTTCAGATATTAGTTGTGACCTCAGAATTACTGGCCAAAACTGGCCTCGGAATTACATTAGTTTTATTTGTGACCAATATTTCTTCCGTTTCTCGCAATCCGCGCACGTGATATCAACAGGTAAGTTAACGGACCAGGCAAAAGTCCCTGCTTTAAGCCGGGCGCACACACAACGATTTTACGGTAGTTGGTCCATTCTGGTTTAGACATATAGGCAGCCCTTGCCCAGACATGTTTTCCTTCTCGCGGCGCTCGCGCCTCGCGCGTGTACGCGAGTCTACTTGGTCTAATCATATGGTCTAATAATCGCCAGTCGCCACATTTTGATGAAAACATCCATCTAGACAATCTAGACAGGAATCGGCCGACTAAAATCGTCGTGTGTGCGCCTAGCTTTATGAAATAAACAAGATTGGATTTTTATATCTACACAAAAAAGGATTATGCATCAAACAACGAAAAGGTATGTACATAAATCTTATACGTGCTTTAATAATATATTTGCATGTGTATCTACATAAATAATATGCAAATATATGTCACATGCGTTGCCATTTGCCTTTGCATTCCGAGCCTATCGGCTTTCTACTTATAAATACTTATGTGCTAAAGCTTGTAATTGCGAATTATCTGACAATATTCTTTATAAAACTTTAACGTTGGACTATGTTTTATACATATTCACTCCCTGAATGATTTCTATATTAAGCGATTGAATTTTGATACGGCATGTCACAACACAATCTCATAATTTATAATTGTACATGTACAATACAAACAAAATATTTGAAAATTTCTCATTTGGCTTAGGGTTGTACAAATACTTTCGTTAAATATAATTCAGCTACAACTTTGAACTAAAAAAAAACAGGGCTACACAATAGCCCTGAAAATCGTAATGAGCGTGATAACTCTGGATAGCTCTAACATTGACCTTATCATGATGCTAATAAGCTTAACATTTGCCTTATCATTTGATAATTTTGAGCAAAGCTCTCTTTATTATTGTATAAATGTGTACCAAATGGCACTGAATAGTCACAATGCATATCGATGACTTATATTTATGACATTTATGATGATTCCTCTGATGTAAAGCCATAATATTTAAAAAATATAGCATGTTAACATTGACCTTATCATTATGCTAATTAGCTTAACATTCACCTTATCATTTGATAATTTTGAACAAAATTCCCATTATTTTTGTGTAAATGTGTACTAAATGTCACCATATAGTCACAAGACATATCGATGAGCTATATTTATGATGAATCTTCTGATACAAAGCCATAATATTTAAAAAATATAACATCTTAACATTGACCTTATCATTATGCTAATTAGCTTAACATTCACCTTATCATTTGATAATTTTGAGCAAAACTCTCTTTATTATTGTATAAATGTGTACCAAATGGCAATAAATAGTCACAATGCATATTGATGACTTATATTGATAATGATTCCTCTGATGTAAAGCCAAAGTATAGAAAAAATATAGCATTTTAACATTGACCTTATCATTATATTTTGTTGTATAATGTTCACTCCCCCCTGGTGAATGGTTCTTTTGCAACAAATAGACTCCTTAAGTAGATAAGTTGAAAATAATGGGAAAATAAAAGTGGCATCTTAACATTCTACTTATCATGTAGTGTGGACGCGGACGGGGACGGGGACGAGGACGGGGACGGGGACGTGGACGCCAAGACTATAGCAATAGCTCTCTTGCACTAAAGTGCAGGCGAGCTAAAAACGATTAAAATTCCCAACTAAAAAATTCCCGCCGAACCTGGCCAGTCCGTACTGTTGGTTACCGACCGCTCAGAAACCAATCAGAATGCTCTAGTCATAAAATAATAAATATTATTTTTCGTGAGACAAAACTGAATGTATTTGTAAGATTTACCTGGCTCCCGGATTTGTCTTGGCTTTCCCTGTTGCTTGGGGCTATGATTGATGGCCTTGGGGTCTGCCTTTCATTAGGAGTTATGAGCTGTAAAATTTATGGAGATATATTGCAAGTTGTCAGCTCCCCAAATAATTGCCAGTTTAATTTAATTGTTAATTAAATTATTTAACTAACAAAATTAACCTCATGGAAAAGTAACATGCCATGACATTTGTTTCGCAGGATATGTCAGAGATCAATATTAGACATTTATTATATGGCACGCAGTCTCGTGATAAAATGGCGTGCGCGGATTGGTTCTTTGCCGGTCTGGAATCCCCAGTATTAGACTGTTGCCGTGGTAACGGTCCAACTCTCATATTTTTGAACAAAAACAAGCTTGCACTTTCATTTTTGACACGAAAATTATCGACGGAACGAAGAAGGGCATTATTTGGTACATGTGAATATTATATTTATTCATCTTTGATTTTTAGCTCGCCTGCACTTTAGTGCAAGAGAGCTATTGCTATAGTCTTGGCGTCCGCGTCCCCATCCCCGTCCGCGTCCACACTACATGATAAGTAGAATGTTAAGATGCCACTTTTATTTTCCCATTATTTTCAACTTATCTACTTAAGGAGTCTATTTGTTGCAAAAGAACCATTTACCAGGGGGGAGTGAACATTATACAACAAAATATAATGATAAGGTCAATGTTAAAATGCTATATTTTTTCTATACTTTGGCTTTACATCAGAGGAATCATTATCAATATAAGTCATCAATATGCATTGTGACTATTTAGTGCCATTTGGTACACATTTATACAATAATAAAGAGAGTTTTGCTCAAAATTATCAAATGATAAGGTGAATGTTAAGCTAATTAGCATAATGATAAGGTCAATGTTAAGATGTTATATTTTTTAAATATTATGGCTTTGCATAAGAAGATTCATCATAAATATAGCTCATCGATATGTCTTGTGACTATATGGTGACATTTAGTACACATTTACACAAAAATAATGGGAATTTTGTTCAAAATTATCAAATGATAAGGTGAATGTTAAGCTAATTAGCATAATGATAAGGTCAATGTTAAGATGCTATATTTTTTAAATATTACGGCTTTACATCAGAGGAATCATCATAAATATAAGTCATCGATATGCATTGTGACTATTCAGTGCCATTTGGTACACATTTATACAATAATAAAGAGAGCTTTGCTCAAAATTATCAAATGATAAGGCAAATGTTAAGCTTATTAGCATCATGATAAGGTCAATGTTAGAGCTATCCAGAGTTATCACGCTCATTACGATTTTCAGGGCTATTGTGTAGCCCTGTTTTTTTTAGTTCAAAGTTGTAGCTGAATTATATTTAACGAAAGTATTTGTACAACCCTAAGCCAAATGAGAAATTTTCAAATATTTTGTTTGTATTGTACATGTACAATTATAAATTATGAGATTGTGTTGTGACATGCCGTATCAAAATTCAATCGCTTAATATAGAAATCATTCAGGGAGTGAATATGTATAAAACATAGTCCAACGTTAAAGTTTTATAAAGAATATTGTCAGATAATTCGCAATTACAAGCTTTAGCACATAAGTATTTATAAGTAGAAAGCCGATAGGCTCGGAATGCAAAGGCAAATGGCAACGCATGTGACATATATTTGAATATTATTTATGTAGATACACATGCAAATATATTATTAAAGCCAGTTAAATTGTAGACAGGGCCCTTTGAACTACCTATAAGATTTATGTACATACCTTTTCGTTGTTTGATGGATAATCCTTTTTTGTGTAGATATAAAAATCCAATCTTGTTTATTTCATAAAGCTAGGCGCACACACGACGATTTTAGTCGGCCGATTCCTGTCTAGATTGTCTAGATGGATGTTTTCATCAAAATGTGGCGACTGGCGATTATTAGACCATATGATTAGACCAAGTAGACTCGCGTACACGCGCGAGGCGCGAGCGCCGCGAGGAGGAAAACATGTCTGGGCAAGGGCTGCCTATATGTCTAAACCAGAATGGACCAACTACCGTAAAATCGTTGTGTGTGCGCCCGGCTTAAAGCAGGGACTTTTGCCTGGTCCGTTAACTTACCTGTTGATATCACGTGCGCGGATTGCGAGAAACGGAAAAATATTGGTCACAAATAAAACTAATGTAATTCCGAGGCCAGTTTTGGCCAGTAATTCTGAGGTCACAACTAATATCTGAAGTTTGTGCTTAATATTACCTTCCAACGCGGATTTTAGCCTTGTAATTTGTAATAAAAATCGGTAATTTGTGCTTCATACAGATACCTTTCATACAGAGTTTAGCCTTATTCTAGACAAACAGTGCAGGCGAGCGTAAGGTGATTTCAGCACCTCTCTGGTTAGTCATATAATAAATACAGTCCGTACAGGAGGATACTGGTCTCGTTCTTTTTTCGCTTAACCCACAATCAACAATGGGCAACCAAATAATTCACCAAAGTGGAACTATTCAAAGGTCAAGCAGTCCGTACTTTTTTGACCGATTTAACTTGACTAGGAAGAGAAAACGACGCTTTTGTAAGGAAAAAGGGTCTAATATGAAAGGGAACAAGCCGTCTTTTGACTCTTAATCAATTGTTTCTTGAGAGATGACAAAATACATTAATATAAAACATTAACAGTATTTAATTCAATAATGATGCCCATATTTGTAGCCTTAAATTTATATATTTTTTTAACATATCAGCAGAATGGCTGTTGTTTTATTTATACCTGCACAATGACTGGTTTCAATTTCAATACCTAGACAATGGCAAGGTCTCATTTTATTACCCACACAATGGCAAGGTCTAATTTCAATACCTGCCTAATGGAAAGGTATTGCTTGCCTTATCTCAAGAACTAATTGATTAAGGGTCAAAAGAACACTGAATTAATTGTGCTCGTGGACCGTGATATATTCAAATTATATTAATACTGTCACAATGATTGTGTGCCATTATTACTGATACTTTCAAAGGATGTGGAGGAAAATCAAGGTCATAGGACATACCTTCGTGATAAGTACTACTCAGCAATTCACGTTTATATATCAATGATGAATGGCATGAATGATGGCATTCAAAGTCGGACTTATTACCACAGTGATAAGATGTTAGCGTTAAAAGACTGAGGCGAGGAAGGGTTTTCCCCGTCGTAGAAATTTGTAAACAAACCTTAAGCAAGGTTTGTTTTTACAAGGGGAACGCGAAAGTTGGGTGAATTTCATCTGCTTCTTCGATGACGAAGAAGCAGATGAAATTCAGACAACTTTCGTTTCTGTTCAAGAGCTGATTTAATCACAATTTGAGTAAAAATGTGTTCGTTCAGAGATGCAAGAATGATGTTACTAGACAGCTACGATGACGGGCTAATAGATGAAGACGAGTTTGCATTGTTATATGAGATAAATACATCAAAAAATTTTATTTTCTTACGAAAACTACGGTGTATTTCAGCTACAAAATATTGATGAAGCCGAGTGTAAGGCTGATGCTAGATGCTCTCTCCTCCGCAGAGCCCGCTAAAACAGTCTTACCGTCTTACATCCTAAAACCGTAAAACCGTCTTACATGAAGTTTGCCGGGGAAGCGTGAGCGCGCATTGCATGAAGGGAGGACGAAAATTGAAGGGGAGCGGCAGCGCTTCCACTTGCCAGGAAATTTCCTGGCAAAAGGAAATATTGGGCTTTGGCAGGAAAAATGCCAGGAAATTTACTTTAGAAGGAAATTGGAAGGAAATTTAGTAAAATATCAGGAAAATGCAAGGAAATTTTAAATTTTCGATAATTTTGTGGTTTTATTTCGAGATTTTAATACAAAATCACTCAAATTGTCTCTGATTTCAATGGTTGAAGAGATTAGAGAAGGCAAATGTGGCTTTGCTGACATATTCATACTGCATTTATTATAATTTATACGTTAAACCTACATATTAACCATATTAACAAATTAACGACATGAAAGCAAATGATGCTGTCATTGTCAAAGACTCTGTAGTGTAGCCCGTGCTGCGTTACCAAAAAATACAATTTAATATTGTACTTAAAAAAGCAATTTCTAAATAATTTTTTCAATTGGAGCACTAGGCTAGTTCTCTTACTAAAAATGTATTGGAATTTGAGAAATTACTTTATTGAGAACTTTGTTCTATGTTCTGATTAATTGTGAGACAATATTAAAAACAGTTTGAAAAGCAGCGTGGCAGCATCTTCAAACAATTTAGCATCAAATGTGTTATAACAACTGGCTAAAATAGACGAAACACTTCTCGACGTTTCGACCTGAAGGCCTTCGTCAGGTCAGGAAACTTTCTCCTGACGAAGGCCCTCAGGTTTGAGACGTCGAGAAGTGTTTTGTCTATTTTAGGCAGTTGTTATACCACATTTGATATAAAAAACATATTTACATTAACATAAAAAATGGCCAAAGCATTTAAGTCTGAAAATTATCAGTTTATGTCACTTATCCGAGTTGTCCGGAGTTATAAAAGCGCTACAAATGCAGATATTTATGAGGTAAAAATACTCAACTGCCAGGAAATTTGGAAGGAAATTTTGTGATGGCTGGAAGGAAATATGAAAGAGAAACAGGAAAAGGAAAGGAAATTTGGGTAGCAGCGAGTGGAAGCACTGGGGAGCGGGCTCTGCCAACAAATGTCAAAAAGTAAGTCAAAAACTATGGTCAATTGACCAAACTTCGACTTCAACGTAAGATATGAATAAAATCTCAAAATGTCAATGCATATGAGTGATTCTTTGGAGGAAATTCAGGAGAACTTTCAAGATCTTAGTATCGAAGGTCAGTAAAGTCATTTAAATATAAGATTTTGCACGCGAATGAGTGGTATCAGATTGTTTACCTTTAGCAATTATTTTATTATTTTTATATAAATGCACAGGAGGATTGGGAAAAGTAGCTTTATTGGATTTGAGATCGCTTGACGTCCATGATTTAAGCGAGTCTTACTGTATTGTTTTTGACATATACATGAAGTTGTAGATGATCCTAGGCGGAACTGATTCTCGGATATTATATAGCCATTATAGGTTCATAATACCTTAGTTTTTGTAATAATTTATTACTAATGAATAAACATATAAAAATCGTATTATGTGATGGTTTAGACCCTGATGAAAGACGGGGGATTTAGGCGTTCCTTACTAAATTTATATTATTACTATTTTCATGAATAGAAGAAGACTCTGGCTTTTTTCCCACTAATGCTAGTACTCCAGAAAGGTTGGAAGTTAAAAAGGTGCACCATTTGACTCCTAAGTTGGATAATGAACCAACAAAGAGATTGCACACAAGTGAAAGCCCTACAAATGCGGCCAGTAAGTTTGTTTCTTTAATATGTATTAAACGTGAGAGTTTTTATAACCATTTTATGATAATTATGAAATGTTATGTAATTATCAGACATGTAGAATGGCATCATATATGATTGGGGATGGGGATATCCAAAATTAAAAAATATATATTGTGAAAATTTAAGGCTTTTAACTTGCACACCCACTTTTTTCCCACTTACAGTATTCATCTATACAATAAGCAGGGGCTCTTAAATCCCCCCTCCTTGGCTATGTGCCAGATACTTATGCTAATTGTCAATTGGTTGATCATATAAAAAGGTTGATTTATTTCAATGGGTTGTGAATTTATTATTGAGAGTCTTACTTTTTACAAGTACTTAATAAGTATTTTTTACAGGTTTGCAGCAAATGTTATTCTCATTTGTGAATCACACATAGTAGTACATGCTTACTTATTTTACTCCTGAATAATATCATCTCTAGACAGTTTTTATGCTAGGCAACTATTTTCTTGTAATGGATAACAATTTCCACTTATAGATATATATGTCTGAGGGCATGCTTTCTGAGAAGAACTTGATTTTAGGCAACATTCTTTGCATTTTTGTGACACTTTTTTCTAAATGTATTGTCATTCAGGGCAAAGTTTTCTTTGACAAAAGAAAAATGTTTCTGAATGAGGCCTTGCCCATTTGCCATTTCTGCACTCATCCCTGATTTACATACTGTTTGCTGTGCAAGTGGCAGTGTTTAATCAGACTTCAAATATGCTGTGCACACAAGCATTTTGCTCTTGGTTTCTGGTACTCAGGATGGCATTTTGCTGTAGACACATTAAATAATGTCACAACATGAGAGGGCCTGTATGAAGAATACTATAATTAGGATGAACTTAAATTAAAAATTCAATAATGATAAGTTTTATCAGGTATAAGGGCAATTCATGTGACCTATTATCATGGTAATTTTCCAAATGCTTGTGAGATATCAAGGAGATTATTTTGAACTGTATAAATATTGCACCAAAATATTAAAGCAGAGTGCATTGCAGTCCCATAATGCAAGTCTTACTAACCAAGCTGATTGAGATTCAATCCTCAAAAATTCCTCCCCTAACTTTAGCAAAAATTGTTTTAACATAAATTTAACATCAAAGGTACTGTAGATTCTATAGAGTAAATAATCTGGTAATGAGTTATTAACCAGGGACCCTGTTCCTTGAGAACTGAGTTTCCTCAATGATAGTAAATTTCTAATATGTACTCTGGGTAAGGTTTGACAATAATTATTGACTAACTAATGTTTTTTATGGCTATATGTTTGTATAGGAAATGAACATGCTGAGCATATGGATTCAAAAGATCAAAGAAAAAATATCACTAGCAACATTTTACCAAAGGATGTATTGGTTGGTATACTGAAGGAGAATTTTGTCGAACTGAGTGGAGCTGCAATAAACCAAACTGAAGTGTTTGATATTTTACATTTGGACAAATCTAAAAAGATATTGGCAACAAATGCCATGAAAGAAGCGTTTTCTGGTGTCTTAGTTTCACGTAAAAGAAAAGACAATATCACACTTTACAAGAATGTTGCACGAAAAAGCTCACTCAATCTTAATCCACCATCATTATCCTTGCAAGAATCGTCTGAGATAAAAAATATCAAGGAAGTCATTGCAAGTGTTTCTGCTGAGTTGGAATTAGTAAATCAGCATTTAGAAAAAGAGCTGTCTGATGATAACATCAACAGAGATGCTGTCCGTACATTGGTTGATATGCTGTTTGTAAGAATTCAGGAACTTTCAAATATCCGAGAAAATGTGTATGAGAAGGAAATCCAGCAATTACTTCAACATCAAAAGGAATGTGAAAGACTTTGTGCAAATGACAAGAAGAAACTTAATGAGGAAATGCAAACATTCATTGGTTTCTTAAATATTGGACTTGAAACCAGTTTAGATCAGATTAATTTTGATTCTATTTTTAACGATCTGCCATCAAATGTAAGAGAAAGATGCCCGATTCTTTATGATGTGTTGGATACATTGTTTTTGAACAAAAGTAGTGCAAGAAATGTTTCAGAAATAAGGTATCTCCATCCAAACATTTCAAGGTAGTTCACAAGCAGTTCAGAATAAGCAAATGCGAGTTATCCTGGCGACACTTTATGTTGATGTGTTACATACTTTGTCCACTGTTTTTGCTGGCGTTTTTAATGTTTTTGCGTCTAGCTGTCCGTGCATAAAATGTCCATTTTATATAAACCATACATTAAAGCGAACGCCGGTATACGATGAGTAAACATTCGCATTTCCAGAAATACGCAATACATGTCTTCCTTTCCCGTCTTTTATCCATCTTTTACAGATACAATGGACTGTATACGCTCACGTTGTCACCCACATATTTAAATAGTCGCACTCACTTGTCCAAGTTATAGGAAGTTACATGTGCGATAGACACTCATACAACCTTTTTTGTAGGAAGGTTGAGAAAATATTAACAGCAAGTTGTTTAAGAAGCAATATTTAACAGAAATCTATTCGAAAATACAATAATGAATAAGTATTTTTACATTTTATTAACATTTATTATATTCTACGCAAAATCATCCGCCATGTTGTTTGCGTTAGTTGGCAGAGGCTTGGGAAATTTCCCTCCTCCCATCATACCCCGCGCGCTAAAAATTGTTGAGATACTTCATGTAATAGTAAACCTTTCATGTAATAGTAAACCTAAGCCTCTGCGGAGGAGAGAGGTCTAGATGGATGTTTTCATCAAAATGTGGCGACTGGCGATCTATACTTGGTCATAATCCTGGTATTAAATAATGGTAATAATATTAGACAATATATTAGACCAAGTAGACTCGCGTACACGCGCGAGGCGCGAGCGCCGCGAGAAGGAAAATATGTCTGGGCAAGGGCTGCCTATATGTCTAAACCTGAATGGACCTGGGACTTTTGCCTGGTCCGTTAACTTACCTGTTGATATCACGTGCGCGGATTGCGAGAAACGGAAGAAATATTGGTCACAAATAAAACTCACAAATGTAATTCCGAGGCCAGTTTTGGCTGGCCAGTAATTCTGAGGTCACAACTAATATCTCAATTTTGTGCTTAATTTTACCTTCCAACGCGGATTTTAGCCTTGCAATTTGTAATAAAAAGATCGGTAATTTGTGCTTCATACAGATACCCAGACCTGGGCAAAAGTCCCAGGTCCATTCAGGTTTAGACATATAGGCAGCTTTTGCCCAGACATATTTTCCTTCTCGCGGCACAGTTTAAGGATATACAGTTGTGTAACTCGCGGCGGAACCCTTTGATGTTGCTGTCCCTCAATTCCAAGCGCTCACGCCATTTTCCACGCGCCACGCAAATTGCAAAAGGATATTATATAGTTTTATGTATCATTACACAAATGTTTATACATTTCATGTATCATTACACAATTGGATATAAATTCTTTTCAGTGATTTACAGTCAATTTCAGCCACTGTTGGTCGTCATGTGTCTTTTTTATTAGTATCTATCAAGCTGGTTTGGTTGCTATTTCATGTTCACAAGAAATGTGCCACTGGGAAAAGCACTCATCAATGAAAAGTTTGCAGAAAGCACTAGTGAATTGCAGATGCATGTGTTGGATTGTTGGAATGCATCTTGCTAATATTGCCAAAACATTCTTTAAGCTTTGTGATCAAAGATTGGTTTAGCTATACCTATATATATATATATATATATATATATTATATGTTTATCTTTCATATTTATCAAGTTTATCAAGTACAGAAATACTTGTTCCATTGATTTTGTGTTTTTTAGAATCCATGCCATTTGCTTGTGTTCGTGCTTGTGAAACTAATGCGTTTTGGCAAACACACTAGGGCATCGGTAACTGGCCCATAACAAAGAGAAAAACCTGCAGTATTTTCCTTCTATGTTAATCCTTGTAATTAATATGAAATGTCTACCGTGTAGCTTAACAACATATCAAAATGTAAAACTCCATTCAAGTTTCTGAAAACTTGTTCTTCGGCAACATCGATTTGCCCTGTCACTCCTCGAATCCTATTTATTTAGTTTTTCCCGTCTCAAAAAAGGCTTATTTACACCAATTCTGATAAAAACGTGCAGCTCCAACTCCTTTTATAAAATACGCGACAATGAAGCAAATCGATAAGATAAATTCGCCAAAATCGTTGTTTTACTGCAAAAATTGACTATTTTCCTAGCTTTTTCTATACTAAAAGAAGCCATGACACGGTCTTTTGCTTCGCGCGTGCGGATAACTATGCGGGGGACAAGAATTCCTCCGAGTTCCACAAAATTTGCGATGATTTAAGCTCTGACGATTTAGAATATTTAACAGTTAAAATAACTAAGCCTCGGTCTAAATCTCTTTTAATTAGCACTTGGTATCGACCTCCAGATCTGCCAACGTATTACTTTGATTATTTTGAGAAAATAATACAGAAGGTAGATTTGACGAATCATGACTACTTTCTATTAGGTGACATAAATGTGGACCTTATGCCGGGAGCAACATCAGCCAATGCTAATAAATTAAATGGTATATTTGAAATTTTTGGCCTCACACAACTAATTAAAGAACCCACTGGAACTACCACAGGTAGCCCGCTATTGGATTTGCTTTTAGTTAAATATTAAACACATTCTATGCAAAACGACATGAAGTGTCATCTTCCTTCATTCACTGCCGACATATTATCGCAGGCGCCAATTCGTGCGGTGCAGTGTAACCTTTATGTATATATTAATATAAGGTTGGCAACTCTTTGTCGTATTTTCACATTTACGAATTACATACCCAAATTACACATGAAAATACTCGTACTTAAACACAAAAATATACACAAAAAACTAAATCTATGTGGGAACTGACTCTCCTAAAACATTTCCGAAACATTTGTTTGTCTTTAAAGCCATTGCAAATATGTCAAATTTACGAAAATACAAACACTTTTTGGTTGAATTTTTTGAAAAGCCGTCGGGATCCCATCACCCTGCTCTACGTCACAGCAAACACGCAATATGATTGGCTGGTTGAGTCCCGTTAACGTAAACAAATTTCAAAATTCAAAGCTAAGCCAATCATATTGCGTGTTTGCTGTGACGTAGGGCAGGGTGATGGGATCCCGACGGCTTTTCAAAAAATTCAACCAAAAAGTGTTTGTATTTTCGTAAATTTCACATATTTGCAATGGCTTTAAAGACAAACAAATGTTTCGGAAATGTTTTAGGAGAGTCAGTTCCCACATAGATTTAGTTTTTTGTGTATATTTTTGTGTTTAAGTACGAGTATTTTCATGTGTAATTTGTGTATGTAATTCGTAAATGTGAAAATACGACAAAGAGTTGCCAACCTTATATTAATATATACATAAAGGTTACACTGCACCGCACGAATTGGCGCCTGCGATAATATGTCGGCAGTGAATGAAGGAAGATGACACTTCATGTCGTTTTGCATAGAATGTGTTTAATATTTAACTAAAAGCAAATCCAATAGCGGGCTACCTGTGGAACTACACCATATTCCTCAACGCTAATTGATCTTTGCGTTACAAATGCCCCAACAAAGATCATAAATTCAGGTATAATTGATCTTTCCATAAGTGATCATGTTTTTTTAGTTTATATGACACATAAGGTTCATTATAAGAAAGCGGAAGCGCGATTAGTTGAAATAAGGAGTATGAAAAATTTTCATAGAGGAAACTTTATAGGAGATTTAAAACAACAGCAATGGTTAGAATTAAATTTGTGCAATGAACCTAATGAAATGTGGGTAAGATGGAAAGGGATGTTACTTAATTGCATTGATAAACATGCTCCACTCAGATTAAAAAGAATTGGGAAAAAGAAATCCCCTTGGATAACTAATCAATTAAAACAAAAAATGCGCCAGAGAGATTTTTTGAAAAAGAAAGCAAAAATGACTGGAGACACATTGATTTGGCAACAATATAAATCATTAAGGAACTCTACGAATAATGAAATTAAAAAAGTGAACATGTACACCTTGAGACCAACCAGAACAATCCAAAGTCAACTTGGAAACTTATTAATGAATTAAGCTCTCGCAATAATTCTTGTCATAAGACCATATCTAATATTACAATTGGCGAAGAAACAATAAATGCGCCTAAGGACATAGCCGAAATGTTTAATTCTCACTTTGCAAAAGTAGGTGAGAATTTAGCATCTGATATACCACCATCTGCTGTGGAACCGGAGGTTTATATTGAGCCAACTGAAACCACATTCTCATTGACACCCCCCACAATAAATACAGTTTGTAGTAAATTAAGAACGATTAACGAAAAGAAAGCATCAGGTCTGGATAAAATACCCTGAAAACTTTTAAAACTTGCAGCTGAAATCGTTGCCCCATCATTAACTCTAATATTTGATAAGATTATAACTACTGGCATATTCCCAACGGAATGGAAGTTAGCAAGAGTTACGCCGATTTTTAAGAAAGGTAGAAAAGATGATATGGACAACTATCGACCAATATCCGTAATTTCATGTGTTGCTAAGATTTTTGAAAAACTGATTTTTGATCAGCTATATGAGTATTTAAATGCTAATAATTTGATATCCAAAGCTCAATCCGGTTTTCGATCATTGCACAGTACATTAACTGCCTTATTAGAAGCAACGGACAAATGGTCAATCAACATAGATAATGGCTTACTCAATGGAGTGGTCTTTATCGACCTCAAAAAAGCATTTGATACCATTGATCACACCATTCTCTTACGGAAGCTAAGAATATATGGTGTTGACCAAAGCGGCATCAAACTCTTTGAATCATATCTAAGCAACCGTGGCCAAACGGATGTTGCGTAAATGGTGAATTATCTGAGGCTGTTAAAATAAGTTGTGGTGTGCCTCAAGGTAGCAACTTGGGGCCACTATTGTTTTTAATTTACATTAACGATTTGCCTAATTGTCTGGAAAGAGCCTCTCCGAGAATGTTTGCTGATGATACTAATATAAGTATTGCGGCAAAATCTGTAGCAGAGCTTGAATCAATAATTAACTCTGAATTGAAAAATCTTAATCAATGGCTCATAGCTAACAAACTGAGTCTAAATGTCGCTAAAACGGAATTTATGATAATTGGATCTCGTCAACGGTTAATGATACACAATAATGAACAAATAAACATTGAAATTGACGGGAAGATAATCAAGAGAGTTAAAGATACGAAATCATTAGGATTACAAATTGATGAGCACCTAGTATGGGCGCGACACGTTGAAGCATTTCCAAAAAGGTTGCGTCGGCAATTGGTGCTCTTAAAAGGATACGCCAGTTCATAGATACAAGCACTGCCCTCAAAATTTACGGAGCTTTGATTCAACCGTATTTTGATTATTGTAGTTCAGTTTGGGATGGTTTAAATATCACGTTAAATGATAAATTGCAAAAACTGCAAAATAGAGCAGCGAGGGTAATTACCAAATCTGGATACGATGCAAGTTCCAGCGACCTTTTCACTAAACTAGGTTGGGACAATCTTTCGACACGCCGGAAAAAACACAAGGCTCTAATAATGTTCAAAATTCTTAACGATTTAACACCGAATTATCTCCGTAATTTATTTGAATTCCACAGCACAGGATACAACTTGAGAAACTCTGAAAATGCTTTATTTGTACCAAAACCGCGAACAAATTATGCTAAACGAAGTTTTAGTTATAGTGGCGCGGTGTTGTGGAATGAGTTACCTCAAAATGTACGAGCATTATGCTCTCTTAACCAATTCAAAAGGGAGATTGACAACATTTTTTCCCTATAAAACAGACTCTCGCACGGCAATCTTGTAAATCAGTTTATATATCTGTATTTTA